ATATATATATATATATATATATATATATATATATGCGTGCACATATATACATATATAAATATATACAGGGTGTCCCATATGTCCCGAATCGGCTGAACATCTCGGAAAGTATGCACTTTTGAAAAAAATATTTCAGGCAAAAGTTGCAATAAAGTGATGCATTTACTGATGTTATCAGTTTGACCTTGGGTGGCACCGGCAAAGTCAGGTTGAAGTCAACTTTGCTTTTTTAAATAGGAACATGTATTTTTTTTTATTACGAAATTTTATTCTACGTAAAGAAACAAACAACTTTTGTTTGAAAAACTTTCATATGATCTCTATTTTCTAAGATATTTACGAAAATATCTACAAAATTATTGGTTTCAATAATTTTTTACTCAAATTCTACCAACTTTATCGAAAAATAACAAGAGATAAAAATTATCTATTTTCTTCTCATAGAGCTCTGAGAATTTTTTCAGAATTTTATATAAAATTCTGAAAAAATTCTCAGAGCTCTATGAGAAGAAAATAGATAATTTTTATCTCTTGTTATTTTTCGATAAAGTTGGTAGAATTTGAGTAAAAAATTATTGAAACCAATAATTTTGTAGATATTTACGTAAATATCTACAAAATTATTGGTTTCAATAATTTTGTAGATATTTACGTAAATATCTACAAAATTATTGGTTTCAATAATTTTTTACTCAAATTCTACCAACTTTATCGAAAAATAACAAGAGATAAAAATTATCTATTTTCTTCTCATAGAGCTCTGAGAATTTTTTCAGAATTTTTTAATTAAATTTAACTTTTTAGTACTGCACTTTTTGCATTTTCTTGAAGTACTAAAAAGTTTATATAAAATTCTGAAAAAATTCTCAGGACTCTATGAGAAGAAAATAAACAATTTTTATCTCTTTATCTATTTTTCGGAAAAGTTGGTAGAATTCGAGTAAAAAATTATTGAAACCAATAATTTTGTAGATATTTCTGTAAATATCTTAGAAAATAGAAGTGATATAAAAATGTTTTCAAATAAAAGTTGTTTATTTCTTTACGTAGAATAAAATTCCGTAATAAAAAATACATGTTTCTATTTAAAAAAGCAAAGTTGACCTTGACCTGACCTTGGCTGTACCACCCAAGGTCAAACTGATAAGATCAGTAAATACATTACCTTATATATTGCAACTTTTGTCTGAAATATTTTTCTCAAAAGTGCATATTTTCCGCCGCATATTCAGCCGATGCGGGACATATAGGACACCCTGTATAGGGAGCGAAGTTGATTTCTCTTTACCTGCGCACTCACCCGCTTGTAGAAGTATATGACATTTAATACACATATATGACATTTGATACACTCTTGGTCTGCATTGGCCTAGCTGTTGTTCGTCATCTACTTGCGCTTGTATTTACCAAAGTATCGCTTTATTAGTCGAGGCTGTTTATTAGTCAAGCTATATGTAAAATTTATATAGAATTTGCTGCGGGGCTCATTTCCTGCACTTGTTATGTGGCTAAAATTAATCTCTCAGCGAGATTAAGCGATCTTTGGCGATTCTATCCAGTAAATTTTAACATAATCCTTATGTTTCTCGGTTCGTGCTTCTCAACTTGAATTATTATGTACATATGCAGATAACATGATCTGAGAATGATAGATTTATACACATTCGTGTTCTCGAGAATCCTCGCGCTCGAAAATGGAGGAAGTTTCAAAGTAGATAAAACCGTGCAGTCTGTGACAAGATGGCGATTTATTTAAAATTCATAATTGGTCTCGTCTACAATAATAACCAAGCGTCTTGCACTTTTTACCCTGGTAAGCGCCAGGGTATGTATATATGTGTATGCATAGAATATAATAGAAGATTGCACAATATACAGATATACATATATATAAAATTAATATGTGTATATATATATATACACATAAATATATACATACACAACATACACGTATATATATAGCAAATACAACTAATTTACATATATAAATATGCACACACATATATACGCGTACACGTTATTGTTTAGATTATCGGATGTCTTATAGTTTTGACAATAATATAGTGACAACATAACATAGCCCTCAACCACCACTCCTCACACTTAATATTGTACTTTCATGCGAGCTTCACATCATAAGCGAGAGAAACTTTTCGAACAGCCAAATATGTCGGCCAAATTATAAAGTTAAACTCAATTATTTTCTCTTTCTTATTCTCTCATTACTTCTAATTACAAGAAGAAATAATAGTAATTAATTATTGCTCAGTAATTTTATGAATTTAAGTTTCAAAAGTCATTATTTATTAACAATAAAATTACCCAGATAGCCAAACCTGCGCAAACATATTTCGAGCAGAGCTTGCTATCAACTTTTGATTGCAAATAGATAACAAATTTGATGCAGAATCTGTTATATCAAATCTTGCTGCCAAATTGCCGCCAGATATGCGGCAGAGCTTGTTGTCGGATAATTGCTGCAGAAACCGCACAGAGCTTGTAGCGATTTGACGGCAGATTGGCAGCAGAAATCGCGCAGACCTTGCTGCGCTGCAAGCTTTGCGCGGTTTTTGCTGCAAATTTGGCACCAATTGTCGGGCAGCAAAATCTGTCGCCAAAACCGTAGCCTAGACATGTAGACACAGATGGTTTTGTTGTGAGTTTTTGATCAAATTTGCTGCCAACCTGCGCACAATCTGCGCTCAATTTGCTTACTTACTGGGCTACTGATCAATAATAATTTATCATTGATCGACAAGTAATTGTTATGAAACAAACGTTTTTATCAGCAATGAATGTGTTAGATAGGATAGTGCAAAGTATCATAATTCGCCGCCATTTATACAAATTTTTTCTAAACGTTTCGCAAGTAAACAATGTGAAAGTCTGAAATTTAGATCGCTTATTAGTCGAGTTATATGTAAAATTTATATAGAATTTGCTGCGGGGATTATTTCGTTCGTTACGTAGCTAAAATTAATCTCTTAGCGAGATTAGGTGATCTTTGGCAATCTTGTCCGCTAAATTTTAACGTAATTCTTATATTTCTCGGTTCGTGCTTCTCAACTTGAATTATTATGTACATATGCAGATAACATGTTCTGAGAATAATAGATTTATACACGCTCACATTCATGTTCTCGAGAATCCTCGCGCTCGAGAATGGAGAAAGTTTCAAAGTAGACAAAACTGTGACAAGATGGCGATTTATTTAAAATTCATAATTGGTCTCGTCTACAATAATAACCAAGCGTCTTGCATTTTTCGCAGAGATGCTGGGGATGGACTTTGCTTTGGTCAGATACGTCCAGTCCGTCGGGTTTCTCTAAAGGTCTCTGAAAAATAAAAATAATTATGAAAGATTTTACCTTCTGCGCGTCGAAGAAACTGCGGACGAGTTGCGCCTGAATAATCGAAAACATTCGATTTCCTCTCTTTCTGTGTTCCGTCATAGCACGCAAAGCGATATTGTATACATTTCTGTTGTTATATATATTGTTAATATGATGAAAAATATGTTTGGTATCGCTGACACGTCGTCGTCAAATTAATATGTTACGTCAATTTACGTTCCTATATGATGCGTGAACTGCGGAGCCAAAAATCTGTTCTTTTTCGAGGAACTTCCTGAACTACTTCCTGTACACTAATGCGATAAGTCAGAGTGAAACAAGCATATTTTAAGTCTGTTCATTTTTAAAGAATTTCTGCACTAGTGCAACAAGTTAAAGTAAAACAAGTATATACTTTCCTTCACTACCCAGACAGCACAAATGTCCAAAATCGAGACGTCATAAGACGTCTTTAACCCGTAACAGGTACCATTTTATTCAAGCTATAGGTACAATGGAATCTGGCCTTTTTATTCAAGCCTTTTTATCCAAGCAATAGGTACAATGGAGTCCGGCGGACCTCAATAAATTTTTGCTATTTTTAACATGATAATAAGAGGTAGAAAGAAAAACGCTTTAGTTCGAAAATAATACTTTACGAATATTATATTACAATTAGACATATAATAATAGTCTCAGTTTTTCAGTAATCTAAAAGAAAACGTTAACTGATTATAAAATGAATACAATGTGGACAGTGTTGAAATAAAATACACTGAAAGACAAATAACCGGAAAAAGAAAAAAATTTATGTTTTAATCTAAGTCTACAAATTATAGATTATATAAAAAATATAAACAAGTATTGTTAAATTAAATACAATATTAAAATCTTAGAGTGTTTTTAGATGCAATCGTTATAGATAGTACTTGCACATTTGATGCATACTGGTTCATTGTATCTAACATATACTTCTTTGGACTTCATATCTTTACTTCTAGGACATTTATTGTATCTTACTCTAGATGGCGAAATAATTTTAGATCTTTCAGTTTCTTCAATTTTTAAAATAGATGAAATTATTAAACGCAATGGCTTATGAATATATTGAGTTGTAAGAAGTCTC